TAATTAAAAATTCCGGCCGGTTGGCATGAATGTAGTCAGAAAACATGTATCGTACGCGAGAGTCGAACTATCGTACCACCGTGTCGTACTATGGTGAGAAGTCCTTTTGTTTCATCCACAGAATCAATAACCTTGATTCATTGATAAGGATCACATTGGGAGGCCACAATGAAGGCGTAGTAGAAGCGTGGAGGAGACACTGTATGGGGGAGGGAGGCTGGGCGTCACCTCGCCTTTTGTTTTGCGTGACATGTTTTACGCTACGTGTGCGCGCTCCCTTATCATTCCTTTCAACGTATGATGACCAGGGCTCCGCCACGCGCGGAATTTCAATAGTTTCATTCAGTAACCCTTTTTCGGCTGCATAAATCTGACTTAACTGATAGCAACAGTCTGTTTGAAATCAAAACCTCTCTGGGAATCGAGAAATGTTCCGGAAAAGTAGTGGTAAGATGGTGCCAACAATTCATTGAGTGTGGCGATGTCTGCCGGCAGAGATAGGGGCCGTCGTTTCACCGTGTCTCTCTCGCCTGTCGATATCTGCCCCGAAACTAGTAAGATGTCGCAAAATTTTGTAATTTTGCAGTCGAGAAAGATGAAATAAATATAGCGCAAATATGTGGATGCCTGTTACGCATGCGCTTTTTCAGCAAGCCAAATATTAATGTATACGCGAATCTTAGACAGGTTGCCATATTATAGAGCAGTGTATATTACAATCAGTCTCCCTGCGTATTTGACAACAATGTAAATCCTGCTCAGTGGTTCTCAGCCTCATAGCTTTTCTACACCCTCTCTGGATCCACACTTACCAGAGCTGCCAATAGAGATTGTTTTAGCTGTGAATTACTCTGGGTGTATACGCATTTGTTTCCGGCCGCGAGGCGCTTGACTGGCGGGGCGGGAAACAGAGCAATGATAGAATAAGCCTTGGTCGTGGTGTTAGTGATAACAGGGGGGCGTTATTGACTGGGTTTGCAGCATCCAAGAAGACACATTGGAGTGACGGGGGGGGGGGGGGTACAGGCGAGGGAAAGTGAATAGGATTAACATGGTCAAGTTTGTAAGAGTGATGCTTGAATCGCGGCACCGCACGCTCCCTCCCATGGCAGCGTTTGGCACCTCTTGAGCCGTTATCAGTGTCACTCTCACCTTCCGTCTCCCGCACGGCCTTTGTCTGATTCAAAATATTTTCATTCATTTTCTGTTTGTTTTCACTGGTAAAGAATATCGCTATAACGTTAGGAAGGGCGTTTCATTTTACTATATTTGCACGTTTAGATTATTATTTCTATAGTTACTAAATTGCACATCTCTCCTCATGTTATACACATGCTCATTACTTCCCCTCTTATTCTCTCCTTGCAAATGTTTCCCTTCTAAGAAACTCTCTCTGTCTCTCTGTCTCTCTCTCTCTCTCTCTCTCTCTCTCTCTCTCTCTCTCTCTCTCTCTCTCTCTCTCTCTCTCTCTCTCTCTCTCTCTCTCTCTCTCTCTCTCTCTCTCTCTCTCTCTCTCTCTCTCTCTCTCTCTCTCTCTCTCTCTCTCTCTCTCTCTCCCTCTCTCTCTCTCTCTCTCTCTCCCTCTCTCTCTCTCTCTCTCTCTCTCTCTCTCTCTCTCTCTCTCTCTCTCTCTCTCTCTCTCCCTCTCTCTCTCTCTCTCTCTCTCTCTCTCTCTCTCCTCTCTCTCCCTCTCCCTCTCCCTCTCCCTCCCCCTCCCCTCGCCCTCTCTCTCCCTCTCCCTCGCCCTCTCTCTCCCTTCTCTCCCTCTCTCTCTCTCTCTCTCTCTCTCATTTTCACCTTTCTCTCATTCCTCCTCTCTCCCTCTCCCTCTCCCCTCTCCCCCTCTTTCTCTCCCTCTCTCTCTTTCTCTCCCTCTCTCTCATTCTCTCCCTCTCTCTCATTCTCTCTCTCTCTCATTTCTCTCCCTCTCTCTTCTCTCTTTCTCTCCTCACTCTTCTCTCTCTCTCTCTCTCTCTCTCTCTCTCTCCCTTCTCTCTCTCTCTCTCTCTCTCTCTCTCTCTCTCTCTCTCTTCTCTCTCTCTCTCCTCTCTCTCTCCTTTCTCTCTTCTCTTCTCTTCTTTCTCCTTCTCTCTCTCTCTCCTTTCTCTCTCTCTCTCTTTCTCTCTCTCTCTCTTCTTCTTTCTCTCTTCTTTCTTTTTCCTCTCTTTTTTCTATTTTCTTTCTCTCTTCTCTCTCTCTTCTTCTCTCTCTCCTTCTTTTCCCTCTCTCTCTCTTCCTCTCTCTCTCTTCTTCTTCTCCTCTCTCTCTCTTTCTCTCTTCTCTTTCCTTCTCTCTTCTTCTCCCACTCTTCTTTCTCTTCATTTCTCTTTCTTCATTCCTCTCTCTTTTCTCCTTCATTTTTTCTTCCTCATTTCTTCCCTTCTCTCAAAACTCATTCTCTTCCTCTTCTCTCCTCCTCTTCTTTCTCTTTCTCCTCTCTCTCTTCCTTCTCTCTCTCTCTTCTCTCTCTCTTCTCTTCTTCTCTCTCTTTCTCTCTCTC